CCTCCTCCTCCTCCTCCTCCTCCTCGCCTCTCGCAGGGATTCCGACTAGGCGTGTTCATCTCGCAGCACAACAAGGAGGTCAGAGATGCCGTTTCGGCATTGGCCGTCGTCGCACAAAGCTCAGCGCCAGCAGGCGCCCTCTGGTACCACCTGCTCGAAGATGGTGAGTTGCGTGTGTGCATACGTGATCGAGCTCGCGCCGCGTGCATACGGCGATCAAGCAGAACTCATCTCAACGCCGCGTTGCGAAACCCCCAACTCGCGCGCCCGTGTTGCTCTCGCTTGCTTCGCATAGACAAATTTCTCCATTGGTTCTTGACGGAGAATAGGCGACGCTTGTCGATTGCGTACGCCTACGTTTTCGATTGGGCAAAGCACCACTCTTTGCCCGTAGCGCCCTCCAATGCGGGTCATTTCCTGCTGATCGATTTCGCCTCTCGTCTAGCCTCGCGTTCGGCGAAAGAGGAGGAGCAAATGACGGCAAAGCTCATCGAGCATGGCGTATACGTCGCACCCGGCGCGCAGTATCACCATCCCGTGCCCGGCTGGTTCAGACTGACATTCTCGATGGAACCGCACGCGCTCAAGGTCGGTCTGTCGCGCATCGAACAGACGCTGGGACTGCAAAAGTGGATCGATGCGCAGCCCGACTTGGAGTTTGGAGAGCAAGAGACCGAAAAAGTTGTAGATTGATTACGCCCGCATGCCCTGCCCCTGCCCCTGCCCCCCCCGCGCCACGAATACGACTTTTTTCACGTCTGCTGCGCCCCGAAATAATTCGTCAGCTTGTTCTTCTGTTTCTGCTTCTGCTTCTGCTTGCTCGGATCGCTTTTTGGCGACTGTTTGCCTTGGGGCTTTTCGCCGATCTGCATCAGCTTGACGAAGCGGTCCCAGAATGTGCGGGGAAGAATGCCTCCTGATGCCTGCTTGTGACCGCGGGCAAAGGATAGGTGGGAGGCGGAGGGCACGTCGTAGTGCTTGCAGAGATCCGGTATGAAAGTATGGTCCAGCGACGCGTACGAGTGCAAAAGCTCGATCAGCGACGGTTCTTCGCCGCTGGAGGGAGGGGGGGAGAGGGGAAGAAGGAAGGGATGATGTCAGCCATGGAGAAGGGGAACGGAAAGCGGGACAGCATTTCGATGCCGTCACGCGCCGCGCCGGCGGCCCCCCACTCACCGATCTTTGGCTGCTTTGGCGATGCGCCCGCTGAAATGCACCAGCCTCTCGCCATCCTCGCCCTCGCCATCCTCGCCCTCGCCCTCGCCCTCGCCCTCGCGCACATCTCGATTCGAGTAGTAGCCCGTATTTGCGCAAAATACCGCTTCCAGCTTCTTGGCACCCTTTAGCGTGCCGGACCAGCGCGTGGCGATGCTGGGATGCACTTGATAGGCCGAGTGGATGAATAGCATGGCTACGCGACCATCTTTGGAGAATTTTGGCGCAGTGTGCGTGCACCTCTGCGTCTCTTGCGCCACGGCACGACGGCAGAGGTGCAAGTGCTCTGCGTGGCGACTGGCTAGTACGTCTGTCAAGTCGTTCGCTTCGAAAAGAGCGGCGTAAGCTGCAGAGACGTTGAAGCAGGGCGTTCGACGTGGAGCGTTGATGGCGGATATCGTGTCGCCTACGCGCTTCTTGCCGTAGCGGGACAGCAATGCGTCGAGTGCGGGAAAGGGAGCATCCCACTTTACATTTACGGACAAGTCGCCGCACGTGCCCAGCACTGCCAACCAGTCGATCGACCTGGCGATGCGCTGCTCTGTGCAGTCGCAGTCTTGCAGCGCGTACCACAATGGTCGACAAATGACCCAGGTGAGCAGGGCAGATGTGGCCACGGGCTCGTAGGAAGAGGCATTGATCATCAGGCTTCCCTTTGCACCTCCTCCTCCTCCTTCTCCCTCGTCCAGATGATGATGATCGAATACGGCGCATCGCGCCCGACCTTGTCGATCATCTTGCTCATTTTGCTCTTGCGCATCCATGCACTCCTCCCACTGCCAACCAGCCGCGCTACCATCCACCAGCTCATCCCCTGCTCTGCTGCCTTGATCAAGAACGACGATCCATCGCGCCCTCTTTTGCGACATGGCCCGCCTCTCTTGCGCGGTGCCCGGATGACCTGCTCTGGATATGTGGTGGATGGCGATGCGCGATGCGGGCACGCCCATGGCTAGGAGCGTGCGGTGAAGTATGCAACCGGATGACAGCCCATCCGCATCCTTGTCCGGCACGATGAGGATGGTAGGTGTGCTCCCCCTCGCGCTCCCACGTGAATCTCCACTATCCCCCTCCCTCTCTCCCGCCCTCTCCCTCTCCCTCTCCCTCTCCCTCTCCCTCTCATCCTCTGCCATGGCGCAATCTGCCATGCGCTGGATGAATGCTCGCGCGCGGTCCAGATCCGACTGGGGAACGGGCCAAGCGAGATGCGATCCATGCGGATGAGGTCTAGACAGGCTTATCCTGTCCGTCGCCGCCGTCGCCGCCGTCGCCGCTGTCGCCGCTGCTGCCGCCGTGCTGGATGCGAGCAAGCGGGCGCGCTTACGACTTGATTCGGATTCGCTGGACTCTGCCTTGTTCTTCATCGCTAAAGCGGCCTGTGTGGATGCACGTCACGTCGTTGTTGATTGTTTCGCTCGTGACAGTCACGAGTCACGAGTCGCGAGTCACGAGCCTCAGGAGCTGGCGAGTCGTGCGTGCGCGCTCATTTGTGGTTGCGGAAGCGTCGTGATCGGCTCTACAGCTGCATGACCCCAGACTCACCTCACGCACTCACGCACTCACGCACTCACGCACTCACGCACTCACGCACTCGTGACGCATGACCGCCATCCGCCCCCACCCCGCCCCTGCAGCTGACGTCACGCACGCGCCATAACTTCCGTTCCACCACGGAGCTTGATTGCTCTCCGCATGCATATGCCCGCCCGCCCGCTCGCCCGCGCCCGCCCGCCCGCCTGCACCAAAGGGTCCTTCCTGCTTGCCTACAGTACTCACTACTCAGACTGTATGGTACCAGCTGACAAAGCTGCGCCATGCATGCAGCAGTCGCGAT